TTTTAATGTCTGCTTTTACCTTGTTTTATATGACTGCATCCTCTGTATTTGGTACATTTGTTCTACAGCACTGATATATGCAAAAATGATTGAAAGCTTATTGAAGTTGAAAAACATATTTTTATGCTGAATCACAGAACCAGGTCCATTCCGAGACCATCGACTGCCCACATACTTTCTTAAGATTGCCATACCCAAATTTAAAGAAATAAAGCTCAATGATTAATAAAATATCTATTTCATCATCCCCAGTACTTACATATGAGAATATGCATAAAAATTACTTACATATGAAAATTTCTTACAATAAACTTAAAAAAATTTAGCCATGCTATCGTCAGGGTATCACTGCCCCAGATTTTCGCCGCCCATTTACACTTACATGGTACAAGCGTGCCTGCACAGAACTACATTAATATTTTGTGTTAACATAAAAAAAACCAAGTTTAATAAAATCCACTTGCAAGCTAAAGCAGGCATATCGTGATGAAATATTTAACCATTATTCAGAATTTCAGAACAAGAATTTGAAGGTGGTAAAATGAAAGTCAGCATACTCCACAGGAACCAAATATCAAAACTGAATACTTAATAATAGACAATAAACATGGACATATAAGTATAAATGTATCTGAAACATTTGCATGGACCCATGAGCAAGAAAAAAGTATACAATCAAAAGTCGTTAATTCGGACACCCATAATCCGGACCTCAAAGCTACAAACTTTTGGTGCATGTGTCTTGTTGACGCATGTGTGTAAGACCTTCAAGCTTACTTTTTATAAAATTGCTCTAACAGTCTGCAAAAAATAATAAGCCGGATCCAATTAGAAGATTAAGGAACAACACGATCAGCAACATTAACTGAAATAGATAATTTTAGCTTAGCTTATACCGTCCATTATACATTAAACGCATATGCGCATGCGTTTAAGCATATGCAGAAAGTTTGTAGCTTTGAGGTCCGGATTATAGATCATTCTGGATTAAAGACTTTTGACTGTACTTTAAGCCACCTAGTAACACCATCTAGCTATCTCGGACGGAAAAAAAGGCAACATTCAACTCATCCACTGAATGTCATTTGTAGAAAACCTAAAGTGATCACTACCTATACGCTCTTATGCTGAGCTCATGTTCATTTCCACATTCCACTCTCCTCTTATCACAAAAGCGAAACATGTGTTTTGAAAACGGATTAGACATAGTGGATTGAGGCTAATTTTGGTCATTGTGATTTTACTATATTATTAGTGAGTGTTGATTAAAGCGGTTATTTACTTCTAGCAACAGTCCCTGCTAGACGGGACTTTCCTGAGAAACAAGATTTTTGGTAGCACTGGTTTAAATGGGAGGATTCTTAGAAAAAAAAAGAATCCCACCTAGCTACAGAAACAATGTAGCGGCTATGTGATATTTCTTCAAACCTCGCCAAAAATGTCTCAGCTGAAACTCTGTCCGGGTAGAAATGAACCAATCAGATGAAAGTTCTGCTTCTGAAGGATCACGTGGTCCCAATCTGAGCGATAATCGATTATTGTTTGGCGTTGTCTTTGTAGTAAGTGAAAATGGTAACCTAGCTACATGGGTTTCCTGGAAATGTGCGGGTTCTGAGAATTGCCCCTTTCGTCATCCAGTTCGGCATAGCCGAAAGATAATGTGATTTTAAAAATTAGATAATGCTTTTTTTTTTTTTTTTTTTTGGTCAGTGTAATTTGTATAGATGATGGACACAAATTCATAAAGCCGCATTTGGAGATTACAGTTGATACTGAGTAGAATTTCAACAAGCATTTTATGATTGCATTGTACAAGAAAAGGCTTGAGAAAAGCTTTGAAAGAATTTAAAGATAATATGGGATTCCCAGAACCTCTGTAATTCTGCCTTTGAAGATGACGGCAATGATTTTATAAACGTGGAGCTTCCTCCACAGCAGGTTGATGGAATTTTCTGATGATGGACTAGAGGCAGAATGAGGCATTGCTAGGAGTGACAAGTGTTATTTAAGATTCTGTGCTTAGCAATGAATCATTACGAGCATTTCAATAGAGATTAAAAATTGTCTTCAGTTAGTCATTTATCTTGAGTAACATACGAGAGGATGCTGAACAGGCACTGGAAGCTGTAGACACACTAATGTTTGTGAAAAATGCAACACCATGAAGGAATTGTCGGAAATGAATGAAATTTATTCCGCATATTACCGATAGTGATACAAGTAAACGATCACATTTACAAACGAAAGTTGGAAAATCAGTACTTTGAGTTTCTGTCATGCCGAGCGAGAGCCTGTACACATCGTGGCATTGAATCGTATAGGTTCTGAATGTAATCCTGGGGAATGGCTTTGACTTGATGTGAAAGTTCAGTTTCAGTGTGTGCCCCACTAGCTGTACGTGCGAGTCGCTGACCGATGAAATCCTAGGCATGCTGATTGAGCAACATATCTGGGGAAGATGCAAAACCTGTTGTACCTTAAAAAAGGCTTGTGCACAGGCATTTTTTTCCCCCTAAAATATAGTGCCTGGAATGCATCGAATAATGCATACTCTGTCATCATTATACTCCAGATTGTAGCAAGATTTGTTGGAGAAAGCAACTTGTTGCCACAGAGCACGCCACGCACTGAGTTGCAGTGCTCACTGAAGTCGGAGGCATATGTTACTCAGTGACAGGGCAATCCTGCGTAGAGGAACCCTTGCATGCAGTTCATGTTGCAGCAGACAGCGACGAACACTTGTAACCGTGCTCCAATATTGTACTAACATACGAGAGGATGCTCTACAATCCATCACAGCCATGCAGATGAGGTGTTTGTCGTCCTGTGCTGTTGTGTGCCCCATTGCCAGGATTTCACCTTGTTTGGTTCTCGCTGTCCATTTCTTCCAAACATGCATCACTGTTGTGGCATTGTGCTGCGTGCGGGCTGTGATTGTTTGATATGAAAGTCCACCCTCTTGCATACAGACGATGTGGCCTCGTTCAAACTTGTTGGTATGGCATCCTCCGCTGTTGACGAGGCATACTGAGCACAAATTAAATGTTCACTGCAGACGGAGGATGATAAACAGATTTCAGCACAACTTTACAGTCCTTTACAACTGCCAGTTCTCATTTCATGCATGCATAATCCCTTTGTAATTCTAATCATTTGTATGTCTTAACTCACTTTACATTTCATGTAAGTTTGGTTCAAAGTGCATAATTCCTTCATGGTTGTGATTTTCACAAACATTAGTGTATATTAGGTAGTCCTAACTAAAAAAGCATCTTGAAATAAAAGTATGCAGTTGTCCAGATCAAATGTTTATTTTACAGAAAAATATGTCCAGATCAAATGTTTATTTTACAGAAAAATATAAACAGCTTATGCATACATGCATTGTTTTTATAGGATTCTGATCATACCTGAATAATAATTTTTCACTAAGTTGTATTTTACAATAATTCTTTCAAATAAGTAACAGTTACTTATCCATTATTTTAATTAAAAGAATTTTGTATATATTTTTGTTCTTATCAACTAATGAAAGGGATGTATATGTATTAATTTTATAAAATTCATGTGAATGTATGCAAATAAATTGTTTATAAATGTCACATAAGTTTATACCTCCTTAAACCATTTTCATGTGAAACAGAAGCCTTATTCATAACAATATAATCAAACATACCAAGGTATAATTTTATTAAGACCCTGAGTTACATCAGTATGAACTTATGATGGAACTATTGGAACAATACTCATCATGAGTTGAGGATTACTTATAATTTGTCAGTAGGCATGTATGAAAATGGGTTTTGTAATTAATATTGAATGTATAACTTTTTCTTTTCATATAAATACAGAAGGATTTCATGTCTGCAGATAATGTATTACAAGAGGCTGTTGTGTGCCAGTGGACAAGCTGGTGAGAAGCTGAACACTAATAGCTTGAATCCTGGTGAATGGACTGCCTGCATAAGCGTCGTCATGATTTTTCCACGTGTAATATGAATGCAAGCCAGTTTGCCTTAAAGCATCCCTTCTTGGAAAATATCTTCTAAGTGTTTCATCACAAAAATCAGTCAAAAACTGTTTCTCATGATTTGAAAAATACGTATAAAGGAAGTCAAATTTAATTTTAATTGTATCTATGTTGATAATTTTGCCCTGAAAGTAAGCAGTATTGTATTTGATGTCAGAACAATATTTTTTTTTATTTTATTTTTTTTATTTTACACTGTATATTTTTGATTTTTGCTTATGATTGGAATTTTAGTACAAATTATTTTGGCATGATGTGGCCTGTTCTCATTTAAAATGCATTTTGTATTTTTTTTTTCCTTCTGTTATTTGCATTATAATAGTTTGGCCATAACAACTATGGATGCCAAATCAACATGTATGGGAATAACTGTATTAAATTTTGAGAAAACCTTTAGGTGTCATTTATTATAAAGGTTGAGATGATTGTTTTTATAAATTCATTCATTCTTATCTATTTAAGAATTATCATTTAACATAAAAATATGAAAAAGAGTAATATATTATAATACTAAATAAAATATACTTTTATATATATATATATATCCAAGCTCACTATATGCACACTCAAAGAGATACATTTCTTTTTTGTGATGTATGTGATGATAATTTACTGTTAAGTATCTTAAGTTGTTCAAAGTACAATTCATTATCTAAACAGACATGCAGGTGATAATCAGTTATGCACTGGTTTAAGTAATCAAATATTATAAATGCACAACTGTTACATTTCTTATTATTTATTAGTCATGTTTATATTATGTAGATCATACATATGATATAATTGTACAGCCTTTGGCAGCTCCAGAATTGGAAACTCTTTTTGACATAATCGAAAGTTCAAGCTTAATTTTTAAAATTGCTCCAACAAGGGCCAACAAAAAGGGGAGCACAGTCAAAAGTCGTTAATCAGGACTCGTCGGGACTTCGGCGATTCCGGATTATAGATCATCAGTTTAAATCTCGTAAGATGGCATGCAGAAATTCTAAAACTAAAAATATGAAATCGTAATTTATGAAATAAAGAACAGTTAAGACCCAAAGGGTATCAAAATTTACCAAAAAAAAAAAAGCTCAATATTTATTTGTTTACTTTATCAAACATTTCTTTCAATGTAAGTTGTTTAAGTTGCTTCGTTTTATGTGATAATACTTTCTCTTTAATTCTATAAACAGATGTAATTTTTTGTTCAGTTACAAAGTTCCGCTGTTCAAGTCCCGTTAATTGCTGTGCGAGAATACCGACTAACTTGTCAATCGAAATTTTTTCGTTTTCACTAACCTCTCTGTCACATTCTTCATGTCTTTTCCATTTTTTGCAGCAATTCCACTTTTTGTTTGATGAACATCGAAACATACTTTCGTTTTGTACGATCCTTTAAGAGCTCCTGAATCGGAAATTCTCTTTGACATAATCGAAAGTTCAGGTTTACTTTTATAGTATTGCTCTTACAGTCTGCAAAAAATAATAAGCCGTATCCAAATTAAAAATTAGGAACAACGCAATCATCAACACTAACTGAAATAGATAATTATATAATTTTAGCTTATACCATCCGTTATACATAAAACGCACACGCAAAAACGTATTCTCCGCTTGCGCACAGGCACATGCGCAGTCATAAGAGGTCTTAGGCGCACGCGTAAACGGCTATGTGCATGTGTCATCGCGGCGCATGCGCAGAAAGTTTTTAGCTTTGAGGTTCGGATTATGGGTGTCCTAATTAACGACTTTTGACTGTACATAGTCGAAATTAGAAAATTGCTACCAGAAAACTATTTAATGTGTATTCGCGATATTTATAATGACCAGGAATTTGATTTAAATCATATCAAATATGGAGTACGAAATGAAATACTACATTTAGTAAGGAATTATAAGCTGAATAAAATAAAAACATCTGCCCTGAAGATAAGGATAGTGCTGACAAATCAACTTCCAGTTCATTCCCCCCCAGAGCAGCATGAAATTGATAAACATATTTCGGAATTATTAGAGAATTAAAGGATATGCTTTTATCCATTTTTTGCAGCAATTCCACTTTTTGTTTGATGGACATCGAAACATGCTTTCGCTTTGTAGATCCTTTGCTAGCTCCAGAATCGGAAATTCTTTTCGACATAATCGAAAGTTCAAGCTTACTTTTAAAAAATTGCTCCAACAGTCTGCAAAAAATAATAAGCCGGATCCAATTAGAAGATTAAGGAACAACGCAATCTGCAACATTAAATGAAATAGATAATTAGATAATTTTAGCTTAGCTTATACCATCCGTTATACATTAAACACGCATGGATAAACATATTATGCAGATGCATATGCGCATGCGTTAACGCATTATGCATTGACGCATGCGCAGAACGTTTGTAGCTTTGAGGTGCGGATTATACATCATTCAGAATTAAAGACTTTTGACTGTATAAAAAGTACTTACATATGAAAAGTCCTTACAATAAATTAAAAATATTTAGACGTGCTTTTGTCAGAGTACCGCCGCTCCTGATTTTCACTGCCAGTGTACTTTTATGTGGTACACGCACGCTTGCACAAAACTATATTTACATTTTGTGTTAACATACAAACAACCAAGTTTAATAAAATGCACTTGCAAGCTATAGCATGCATATGGTGATTAAATATTTAACCATTCTTAAGAATTTCAGAACAAGAATTTGAAGGTGGTAAAATGAAAGTCAGCATACTCCACAGGAACCAGATGCCAAAACTGAATACTTAATAATAGGCAGTAAACATTAACATATAAGTATAAATGGTAAAACTGGGTATTAAAGTCGAATTTGCCGCACTTTAAAAAAGTTGCCAAATCGGTTGTTTTTACGCTTGTTTTAGAAATTTGTTAACTCATCATATTGCCACATTAGATGGTTGCGAATTTGAATTAATTCTGGAAGCATGCAAAAAATAGATCATGTTAGATGTAAATATCTAAACAGCCTGCAGACATGCAAAAATATGTAAGAAAATAACCAAAAAAGAGGGAAGCTCCATATCCATGTACACATCGACCTATTTTCACTTAAAAAAAAATTCCAGAATTGCACAAAAATGGCATTGTGCACTTCCTTTACTTTATCCATGTAGATTGACCTATTTTCACTTAAAAAGTCAAAGAAAATTGACAAAAATCGAATTCTTCTTACTTTTGTATAAAGCGCTAAACATATAAGTGGGTGATTCTGAACTTTATCCAAAGTATTTGAAAGTTAATTAAAGCCCTTATCTTGCAACTGAATTAAATAAGTAAAATTCACACACTCAACTCTTTCAACGGCAGCAATTTTGCTCACACAATCCACGAGAAGCACAATGGTAATGACGAAAATTTAAAAAGTCCACTTAAATGCTATAAACTGTAACCTTAAATCCTAATAATTTTCATGACACCAAGAGCTTACTGGATTTCGCATCATTTGGCGACTGGACCGTCATCTCCAGTTCAGCCGTATAAACATATCTAAAATATTTGCATGGACCCATGAGCAAGAAAAAAGTATATACATGAAATGTAGAATCTCATACATTATTTGTGTTGTGCAGCAGTGGCAATAGGAATGAGACAAATTTTAGAATATAAAGTGATATGTTTATTTTAGCATCCATCTAACAAGCGTTCCTCCTGTACATTGAGGAGAAGCTCTATTTATAGATATGTGTTCATCACGGGGCTAATCCAATCAGCGATATTAATTGAAATAACAAGGTGACACCATCACCTCATCAGGAGTATTCTTAAGGACTTTATGTAATATGACAGATTTATCAGTTTGGCGATTTTGTGGGCGCCAACAGGTTAATATAATTTATAATAAAGAAAGGATTTCACAAAAATTTAGGAACAGAAATGCAATTTAGGTAGAGAATCGCCAACACATTATTAAGCAATATGATTAGAATTTAATTTAACCAACTGATTTAAAAATATCATTACATACATATATATATATATAAAAGCAATAACCTTGACATAATTTTTTACAGATGAAATGTTAAAAGTTACTTATCAGGTGCAAATTGATGGTTTTCATGCCTTTATTTCAGAAAGATATCAAACTGTCGATATTTATTATAAATTGGTAAAAATTATCACCATATTGAAAGAAAATATACTTCAGAATAGAAATTTGAATTACAAAATAAGGATTGCATTATGAATTTAAAAAAAAAAAAAAAAAAAAAAAAAAAAAAAAACATTGTTTTTCAAATCTTTCTATTCTAATTTTACACTTTTCTCCCTCGCCCCACACACAGCTATCTGTTTTTGCAAAAACAAATGGGAGAATTAGGTTCATGCAGCACTTTGCTAATGATTTTTCTCATTTCTGATTTTCTTAATTGTTGCATTAAGAAAATTTTCATGAAAATTCTGCGTTCTTGCAGAAATTTTATAACAGAATTGTGGAAAAATTGCTTGCAAATTCTGCAAGGATATATTTTAAAACTAAGGCAAGAAATATTTTGATTTGTTTTAAAAAAAACCATTGGACTTTGAAAAAGAAGAAAAAAAAAATGCCCAAAAAATGGCTTGATTAAAGGATTATTATAAGCATGACTGCTCGAAGAATTGTTATGCACAATATTGTCAGACTTTGGCATATACCGAAAATATCGCAACTTGTATTAATGAGGTTGCATTAACACACACACACATATATATATATATATAAAAGAATGCCCAAAAAATGGCTTGATTAAAGGATTATTATAAGCATGACTGCTCGAAGAATTGTTATGCACAATATTCTCAGACTTTGGCATATACCGGAAAATATCGTAACTTGTATTAATGGAGGTTGCATTAACACATAAACACCACAAAAAAAAAAAAAAAAAAAAAAAAAAAAAAAAACCATTAGTTCCTGAAGAAATTTTGAATTCTTTCAAAGACATTACAAGCTGCATAGTGGCTTCAAGAAAGAGTTCAAAATAAATGTTTTAAATATTCGATACTGGAACATGTAAGCTTACAAAAATCCCAAATTCTATGCATTCTCAACTTTAAAAAAGCTAATGAGGAAGGGGAGAAATACTTAAATCCTACAGCACTAAGGATATCCACAAAAATATATTATTTTCTATTTTTTTAGAAAAAAATAATGAAAATGGATTGCAGTGCAAAATGTGAATGAAATTTCCATTCAAATGAAAATGTTCAAGATTTCAAATGGGAAAAGTCCAGAATCACCCAATGCTTGGCGCGTTTTTAAGAATTGCACATACTCAGTAACCATATAAACATCTATCTATTATCACTTAAAAAAACATCCCAGAATTGCACAAAAATGGCATTGTGCACTCGCTTGACTTTATCCATGTACACATCGACCTATTTTTAATTAAAAAGTCAAAGAAAATTGACAAAAACCCAATTCTTCTTACTCTTGTAAAAAGCGCCAAAGAAATAAGGGAAGGCTTTAGTGTAGAATTGGGTGCCCCTTCGATTGGCGACATTTATTTAAAAATTTTGGCGATGAAACCTCACTTCTGGTTACCACGATAGTTTTAAATTTGTTTTAGCTTCCCGATTTTATTTAAATGAAAATAGATTGATGTGTACATGGACATATTTAAGACAATGCGCAATGCCTAGTTTGTGCAATTCTAGGAATTTTTTTAAGTAAAAACAGATCGATGTGTACATGGACACGGATCTTATGCAATTCTTCGACTTCTTATTTTGAAGAAATGGTTTTGTGTAGCGGCCATCTTGAAATTGTTACTTCCTGGCGCCGATATTGGCATCAAGAAAAAATCGCCAATAAACAAGGGGCACACAATTGTAAACTTTTACCGTGGGGAATTCTGCAGTTTACCCTTTCAAATAATTCATAACATTATCTGAATGAAAGGAATATGATATCAATAAAATTTTCTTATTCAGAACAATATAATCAATTTCTAACTCTTCATTGTTTGAATACGCTATTTTAAATTTTCATTAATCATTAAATACTAAGGATAAGTAAATGTTGCTTTAACTTAGAAGCACTTTATAGTGACTTATGGCTTATCTCCCAAACATCAGGTTTTTCTCTCGTGGAAACAAATAAATGGTTTATTAAGAAATGAAATGAAAAGTTGAACACACATAGAAAAGCATGTCTTTATAGCATGGTCTATATTGCACACATAAGCAAAGGCCCTTATCAATCTAACTTTTTCACAAATAAACATTAGCCTTCTTATTATATGTAGACATGAGTCTTTCAATTTTTCTATAACCCAAGTGATCCGTTACACATGTACCTTATAGAATTCCTTTCTGGTGTGAATAAGTAGATGCTTTTTTAAATTAGAATTTCGAATAAATAACTTATTACATATATCACACACTTAAGGTTTCTCTTTGGTGTGAAGAAGTATATGCCTGTTCAAAGTTTTCTTTTGTGCAAATGACTTCTACATACCTCACACACATGAGGTTTCTCTCCTGTGTGAAGAAGCAAATGCTGTTTTAATGCACTTTTTTGAGTAAATGACTTCTTACATACCTCACACACAAGGCTTCCTTCCTGTGTGAATAAGTAGATGTCTGTTTTAATCAACTTTATGACCAAATGACTTGTTAAATACCTCACACACATAAGGTTTTTCGCCTGTGTGAAGAAAGATACGATTGTTTAAAGTACGTTTTTGAGTAAATGATTTGTTACATATCTCACACAAATGAGGTCTCTCTCCTGCGTGAAGGAGCATATGCTTGTTTAAATAACCTTTTTGAGCAAATGACTTGTTACATCACTCACACACATGAGGATTTTCTCCTGTGTGAAGAAACATATGTTTGTTTAAATCAGGTTTTTGAACAAATGACTTGTTACATACACACATGAGGTCGCTCTCCTGTGTGAAGAAGCAGATGCTTGTTTAAATGAATTTTTTGAGTAAATGATTTATTGCATACATCACACACATGAGGTTTCTTTTCTGCGTGAATAAGTATATGTCTTTTTAAACCACCTTTACGAGCAAATGACTTGTTACATACCTCACACACATGAGGTTTTTCTCCTGTGTGAAGAAAGATATGGCTCTTTAAAGTATGTTTTTGAGGAAATGATTTGTTACATACCTCACACACATGAGGTCTCTCTCCTGCGTGAAGGAGCATATGCTTGCTTAAATCACCTTTTTGAGCAAATGACTTGTTACATACCTCACACACATGAGGTTTTTCTCCTGTGTGAAGAAAAATATGTTTGTTTAAATCACATTTTTGAAGAAATGACTTGTTACATACCTCACAGACATGAGGTCTCTCTCCTGTGTGAAGAAGCAGATGCTTGTTTAAATGAAATTTATGAGTAAATGATTTATTGCATACATCACACACATGACATTTCAATCCTGTGTGAATAAGTATATGTCTCTTTAAATCAGATTTTTGAGCAAATGCCTTGTTACATACCTCACACACATGAGGTTTCTTGCCTGTGTGAAACAGTATATGTTTGCTTAAATCACTTTTTTGAATAAATGACTTGTTGCATACCTCACACACATGAGGTCTCTCTCTTGGGTGAAGAAACAGATGCTTGATTAAATGAATTTTTTGAGTAAATGATTTATTGCATACATCACACACATGAGGTTTTTCTTTCTGTGTGAATAAGTATATGTCTCTTTAAAACATATTTTTGAGCAAATGACTTGTTACATACCTCACACACATGAGGTGTTTCTCCTGTGTGATGGAGCATATGCTTGTTTAAATGAATTTTTTGAGTAAATGAGTTGTTACATACCTCACGCATATGAGGTTTCTCTCCTGTGTGAAGAGGCATACAGTTGTTTAAATTACCTTTTTGAGGAAATTACTTATTACATATCATACAATTTTTTTTCCTTTATGCACATATAGATGCTTGTCTAAATGACTTGCTGTATACATCATATACGAGGATTCTTTCCTGTGTCAATACGATATGATTGTTTAAAGAACACTTTAGTCTAAATGATTTGTTACACACTGCATACAGAAAATTTGTCTTTTGTGTGAATAAACATATGCACTTCGAAAGTACAGTTATTTGCAAATGATAAGTTTCATGTCTCTCGCCCAACCGGTATAGTGGCTAGCGTTGCTGACTGCTGTGCCGAAGGGCCTGGTTTCGAATCCTGGAAAATGCATAGTTGTTTATAAATGTTTAATAAAAAGTTGAAAAAACATTTGTTGTTATATGTTTCAATAATTAACCCTCACGGACTGGAGGAAACGGCATTCGCCAAATGCCTCATTTCCTTTCTTCTTGCTTAAAAAGCAAGATTGATACAGATACAGTTACATGTGTCACATTATAATTACATCTTATCCTGCATTAAGAAGGAAATGCAAGTTTATTGGGCTTTTGTACAAATGACTTTTACCTACCTCACATACATGAGGTTTTTCTGTTGGGTGAGTAGGCATGAGCTCATTTAAGAAATTTCATTTTCCACATCAAAATTCCCAATACAAGTTGGACTCAAATATATTCCAAAAACTGACATTCACGGCATTCTGGGAGATGCTACACTTTCAGGGCTGAACCTGCTAGAATGTTTAGATTAAGCAAAGTAGTTACTGCAGGCACATATGATATAAACCACACATTTTGAATAGAAGACACATCTGGGGCGATAGATAAAGGGCATGATTGTCAGGAAAAACAAGTTTGTTTATTTTGGACTAACATGATTTCTGTCACCTTAGCTCTCATAAAGGTTAGTTTGTTCATTCATTGCTCCTAATTACATATAAGAGATGAAACAATTTTAAAACTACAACAAAGTGCCAAGAAATATTGATGGCCTAAGAAGAAATATGTGCCGTACCGTTGTATAAAAATCCACCACTTATTTCTGCGCAAAGTTATTTGACATCAACTTTCGGCTTCACCAGCATTTCAAGCGGAGGGTGCTTCACGCAATTGTAGCAAAAAGATTCCTTAATTGTAGAATAGGTGTCGTGAACAGATGTCTTGTTTTGCACCCTCTAAGTCTTTCTGCAGCGATGGGTAAAAAATCAAGCTTAGCTGCGAAGAAAGGGGTAATTTTGTTCACAAACACACAGATCGAGTGTCAAGATGTAGAAACATCGTTTTACTCGAGTTCTGATAAGAATCAGGAAGGAGGGCTGTGTAATCACCGAGGCAAGCGGCAGCACGATCGCTGCGCTCCGTAAAAAAGTGAAAATTTTTCCTTTCCTCTTGGTGATTATCAATTAAATTTCTTTGAAAAATGTTTATTTTTCCCCTACAAAACCTATATCATTTCAATGAATTTCGGCTCCGATGTTGACGAGAATAAAACAGCGGACAATGTAAGGAGCCTGGAATTTTAAAAAGCCTGGAATTTTAAGATAAGTACTTTTCTTTCATCTAAACTAAATCAAATTTCTATAAATAAGCGCCTTTAAATCAATAAATCTTAATTTTTCATCAGTTTAAAGCATTAAAAAATACTTGAAATTGCCATTGCTTGTGGCTTCCTTTGTGTATCAACTCGAAACAGACGCCAGCGTTATCAGTTCACGTCTGTCAACACTTACAAAGCCCTTAAGGAATCTCGAGAGAGGGAAAATTTGGGGAAGAGGGGGATAATTTTGGGCATCGCGCTATTTCCCTCTCGGATCTTCTGGATTCTCTTTTCTTTCTAGATCGCTTGAATATAGTTTCGCCTTTAAATAATATTATACCTCACCGATTTTTTCTCATACTGTTCTTTGCTATCTGTTAAATGTCCATATGTAAGGGATGGTTTATTCTTCACCGCCTTAAATGAATTTTTAGAACTATGAGCTTATATAAATAACAGTGTGCCTCATTGTGTTTATTAACATTATTTAACTAGTAATAAATTATGATAGTAAAATAATTAATCTTGTAATAAATTATGATACTTAAATTAATAAATACTGTTTAATTTGTGTTTTTAATACATATACTCAGTAATTTACACACATAAATAAATATATATATTTTTTTTATTTTATTTATTTATTTATTATTTATTTTTTTTTGGGTGTATGCGGTTGTGGTCTTGTATTGTATATGATTCTATGTTGTTAGTCTGCTGCTGCTTTTTGAAAAATGTATGAAAATGTTGAGAATGAAAGTAGCATAAGTTACTTTGGTTAAATTAATATATACTTTGTTTGATGACCTTTGTTGATATCTCAGGATGCAAGCGTACATATTACTTTATATTCCATGCTAAATACCTTGATACGAAGCATTTTAACACCGTCAATATTTGGTTTTTCCCCAGTAACACATCTATCATTCACCATTACCAAACACACTCACTACACAAACACAACCTGTGAGACACTATTTATTGTAAATGAAGACAGTTTCTTCTCCTTTTAACTACACTCATGGACACAATCGTATTTTAGAATATTTTCTACTTCTTTTCCTTTTCTTTCTATAGGCCCTTTTTTTTTTTTTTTTTTCTCTCTATTATTTTTGGGCCATTTATTTTAAATTTTATTTTGTCCCATCTTTTCTTCTTGGCCTTTTGAACTCGTACAAGATGTACGAAGTTCCTTTTTACTCTCTTCAAATACGAAATTGCCACTCTTTCTATATACCTTTCCTTCGCACCTATGCTTGATTTTTCGCCCATCGGTGCAGAAAGACTTAGCGGGTGCAAAACAAGACATCTGTCTGAACGAGCTACAATTCCGCAAATCGGAACCCGGAAGTGTGTTGTACGTCATCACCGGAAGTGTAACTACGTCATCGTTACATTATCTTTGCTGACCAATGGCATACGAGCAGGGTTAATATAGTTCTAACGGTGGTTGCCCTACTCTTTGATTTATCACTGCTTGGCAATTAGAATAGGTAAATAATATCGTAAACAAGCACAGCAGTTATCGGTAACAATTTGCTATCGCTGTTATGTGGTATGCACTTGAACTTTAAGGATATAGGAAAACTATTAAACTCTTGAGTGTTTTTTAGGCAGAACATTTTTAAATTCACAGATATTGTTCTTAGTTTGTAAACATTCCCTATTACATATAATTCACAATGTTTGACAGAAAATTTACATATGATATTACTCTGTGTCTTATATTGAATTAAATTATTATAATTTGAATACTGTTGTTATTGTATTGCTACGCATCTACTTGCACTCTAAGTGAAATAAATAACAGTAAGAAAAAGTAATTAAACGTCATAGAACACATTTTGGGTCACGGTTATTTCATATTTCGGTTATAGCAAAACAGTTATTTGTAATGAATGAAAAGGAATAGAAAATCGAACTAATTCTTAACAATATTTATATACCACATGTACGAACTGCTAGACAATAATATTTGACTTCTATTTTTATGGATAAAAACTCTCTACAAGAAATTAAGAAATGTTATTTATTTTTTCATAAAAAACGTACTGTTTTGCTACCACATGTACGAACTGCTAGGACAATAATATTTGACTTTTATTTTTATGGATAAAAACTCTCTACAAGAAATTAAGAAATATTATTTATTTTTTCATAGAAAACGTACTGTTTGCAAGAAACTTATAAACATCTTCAAGTTGATTCTGTTGATATTTTCATTAGATCTCATCAAAGAGTTTCATATTTTTCTATCAAGAATGTTTTAAAAATCATTTTTTCATCATAAAATGTCTGTATACATCTAGGTTTCAGCAAAGAATTTTGTGTAGCTGGTACTCTTTTCATTCACACTTTTTTCATTTCACACTTGGGATCTTTTGTATTCCAAACTTTTGTATACTGTAATTCTAAATTTGATGTACTTTGAAGTAATTATCTCACAATTTTGTGCATTTATTGAATTATAATAAAATTACTGTATTATTCTTTCAGTTACATTTTAATTAATATTTTCATTCTGGGATATACAGTCTCAAACCTTACCTAGTGGTGCAGTGTTCCAGATTTAGAAAAACATTTTGAACAAAATGAGATCTTACTTCAAAATAGCTTTCTGTCCATCTTATCAAAAGAATGTAATCTGTCACTGAATAACAAATTTCTAAAATTCCAGTCTTGTCATTTCATCCTTTCCTCTATATTCTAATTTATATTAATAACTTCTTACAATCCAAGGCACCCTTCTAATGTTTTAATCTGATGCTATACTGTAGGCTGTTTTCATATTTCAAATAAACTAATTTTCCTGTAATTCTATATATTCTTTTATTATAATTTTGTCTTATCTTGATTCAGATTTATTAATTTGATTATATAATTTTATATTACTTGTCACAATACTAACAGTTTTGGCTCAGATAATTAGACTTTTTTAATTCTTTCCAGACATTGTTTAAATATTCATTGTATAACTGAAAAGCTCTAATACTAAAGGTAATAAAGGAAGAAACTAAAGCATATTTCATGCATCTTCTTCTTGTCCCTCTTTTTTAATTCATGCAGTGTATATATTTCTCGTTGACTGTTCATTA